TAGCTTGTTCTGTTTACCTCGATCTTGGTTGGTTGCTGTAGACCCTAAACCTGTCGTTGTTTGCACTTTTGTTTTGATTGTATCTCCATTTTGATCTGTTTCTTGATCACTTACCGCCTATGATTTTTCTGATCAGTTGATAAATTGGGTCATTGTCGATGTATATATTGATTTCTGAGTGCCAAGCTTCTAAAAATTCTCTAGTGTTCTTCGGGCTCCTCCTATCTAGTATTTCCCCATTGTTCCAACTAAATGTGTGTCCACAGTTGTCCGTATGCATTGATATGAGGGGAGAAATGTCATGGCGTTTGATTGCTAATTGATGTTCATGCAGACGAAGCTGAAGAGGACTTCCACTTTGTCATATGTAGTGTTTTTCACAGGTTGAGCAATTTATTTTGTAGATGATATTTGATTTTTCTTCATTTGTCCCTTGGTCTGCATAGGATTGACTGAAGTGATTCTGTTGGTTTGTTTGCTACACCTTTTCCAAATGGTCTCAGTAGTCGTGCCGTAATTTCCAATATGTCTTTTATATATGGTAGGATGATCCGTTTGTTTGTTTCTGCACTTGATTTCGCTTCTGTTGATAGTTTCATTTGATATTTTTTGATGAATTTGCGTGGATAGCCGTTCTTTTGGAAGATGATCACTAGATATTTTTCCTCGTTTTTGTGCTGTAGTGTGTCTTTGCTCTCCTGAACATCGTTTGTACGCAGTTGATTGTGTGAGTTGTCGGGTTGTTGTTACTGTAATTGAGAATTAGGTCTATGTGTACTGGCTTCCGAAATACTTGAGTCTCCAATTTCCTTGTGTCAGTGCTGGTGATTAGTACATCCGGGAATGGTTGACTGTTTTCCGATTATACCTATATCACTTATATTGATATTAGTTTCTGTTTGTATGGATACAGATAGGCTCCATTTTTTCGCATATAGATTAACGACATACATGTCAACCGGGTTTTATTCGTCCGTGTCTTTATTAGTCGCCCGCATAATCCATTTCTGACTTTGTAAGGAATAAAGGCTTTTCAGTTTCTGTACATCAGGAATAGATCACTTAATAGCGTTCCGCACGATATGCTTCTTCGCGGGAGAACAAATGTTACTCCCGGACTCAAAGAATCAAGAAAGGAACAGATTCTAGAGGAAAAAGTATATTTGATACTGGCCTCGTGATATCGAAATAATATCGGGGCAAGAGGGCGTACAGAAAGCTAACGTCCACGCGGGAGACGTGCGAAGAGGAGAAATGGGAATAACACGCTTGGTGCGCGGTACATAGTTCTTAGTACAGATAAACAGGAGGTGTACAGTATAACAATTATTGTCAGAATTAAATACAATAATAAATGTTTATATTTCAGCAGTTGTGTTTTCTTGGTAATGGTAAATCAGGCTCGCATGCCTCATGTAGCATAATGTCACAAGCAAATGAATTTTAATACAGGAGTCTAGGTTATGTGATACATGCATATTAGATTATCTCGGTGGTGTGACTTGAAAACAAGACATAAGTCCACTAGTATCTAATCCACTCTTTGACAGCACATAAAACTATCGGCAACCAACATGGGTGCAAGGCAGAAACCCAACCGCATGAGTCTATCGGAGACCTGCCATCGATCGATGCGAGTGTTGGGTATCCTTGAATTAGCTAAGGATCTGAAAACTGCTTCACATTCTTTGAACTGCCTGCCAGATTAACTGGCCTGTAGTTAGTGACATTTCATTAGTGCTGCAAGTTGTCTCAGAAACAGGACAAATTGCAACTAGTGCAGTTCTGTTCTTCGACATTAAGATAGCTTTTTATAATGTATCATTAAAAACCTCTCTTTCAGAATCACTGACCTACTACATTAGTGGATTGTTTCATTCCAAACTGAACGTCAACAAGGGGTAACAAATGGCAACGACTCGTTTTCATTATCAAGATTAATGGCTAGTAGAGTTATGCAGGGATTTGCGTTAATCCCAGACGTGTAAATAAACGATACAAGTGAAATCATGGCAACTTGCAGATCATGCTCGTAGGTTGATGATCTGAAAATATCACATCTTTACGCCTGAAGATGTAATTGAAAATAAAATACAGCTCCAAAGTGAACCTAACAACCCGTCTACCAGGAGCATAAGACACTGTTGAATACTGCATTTATATCTCAAGGATGGGTCGAGGCGAGTAGTCGTGACTGACTAAGAACACTGCAGACCAGTTACGTTACCGTCACAAAGTATAGTATCTCCAAGAACAAGGACAGAGAATAAAAGTTAGTCCATGCAAAGGAATGTATTTTCTGGCGATATCATGGTATCGAAATAATGCCGAAATTGTATCAGAAAAGAGGGGCGACGTTACGGAGAGCAGTGGAGCCAGAATGGCAGCAACACAAACGAAAAGCTTACGCGTACAGAGTAGTAATAAACAAAGAGGTTCAGTAAAACAATCACTGGTACGATTGGTTAGGAAATTAAGGGGACGGGATGTGCCTGAATCATGTCCAAAGACGATTTTTGTGTTCGCTTTTAGGATATGACCCAACTCTTGACCACACAGCAAGATGCAGTCAATATTCCATAGAAGCTTTATATCGCTGTCGATAATGCTCTGGTCTTAACTAGCATCTATTTATTTCAGCACTTCTTCGTCGTAACGCAACTCATCTACCGAGAACCAGTCACTGCACTAAACACTCAAATTCGGTCATAATTTTCTTTTATTTCAGGTTATAAGCATTACCGCTCTGTATCTGTGATAAATCTATGTCGTAAAATACCAGCCTAAAAGATCGATTTCCTAAAGTTAATGTGATAGTATTTGTAGCGATTGGATCTGGTCTGTAATCTGTATTTTTGATGTAACAGAACATTAAGTTCACCAAACAGGAGGTAGAGTTTCTGTATAAATATAAACCGCCAATTAAAACCCGAGATGCTATACGACACCAAACTAAACGAGTTGACAGAACCATGTTGGTGTTGTTTTCATACAAATGGCACGAAATATTTGATTGGATGGATTTACCGACCTCCCTCAGGTACTAATGCCCAGTAGGACAAACTGACTGAGGTGATACTGCAGCTGACGCTCCTCGGGTTTGATCGAATACACTTAGCTGGAGATTTCAATGCTTCAGTCGGTTAATCTCAGCAATCAGGGTACACCACCCATTGGCTGGTTCGAAGACAACTTGGCGCAGGCATTAGAAGCTCTGGGCTTAGTGAGCATGTATGCAGTGCCACTAGATGGACTAAAGAGGGAGATGGATTGTTTTTTAACGAATTTTCAGCTCATGGTCGAGGATGTTAAAGTCCACACACCAACAGGAGGTAGAGACCATGGCACAGTCTTGTTTAACATGATCATAAAGGAAACACTCATACAGGATGAATAAGACGCTTTCAGATGAAACCAGCAGCCCAAATACAGGCAAACCCTTGGTATCTGTTTAGGTTATTGACTAAAAGAAAACCTTGAACCAGGGTGTGTGTTGCTTCAAAGGTCCTAGTGGAAAAGACCTCACGAACCTAGAGATGGCTGAGATCTTCCACACTAACTTCACTGATTAGTTAAACTAGGTGTCCATATGTTTACAGTACTCCTCAAGCCCAGTGTCAGCTGACAGCTAAGGGAATATCCGATATACTAAGGAAACTAAAATCCTTACGCTGAGTTAAGTCATCAGGTTGTGACAATATTTGTCCCATAGTCTTGAAAAAATGTGCAGGAGCCCTCTGTTCACTGATATATGATCCTGTTCATGCAGCCATTGAAATCACACCAACTCCAAACTGAATGGAAACAACCTACTCTCTCCAATCTTCAAAGGAGGATATAGCAAATGAGGTAGCACATGGATAAGAATAAAATACTCCATGAAGCTCGGAAAAGCAGGTCGTCCACAGGCAATCTTCTGAAAGCATAGATCAGTTGGACATCCTGCTGAGACCGAAAAATACCGGGAGCAGGTAATATTGCCTGACTTTGCAGAATCCTTCGACACAGTACCGTAAGCACGCCCAATCGCAAAGGTTGTCGAAATGGGCTTCACTGACCCATTCGTATCTCGGCTCACTAACTACCTTGAAAACAGAAAGTTTCGTATCGAGGTTAACAGAATGCATGCTATTTGCCGAGTCTCAACATCGGGAGTTTCACAGCGGACCATCATAAAGTCATTACATTTGCTGAAATTTATTAACGACCTGTTAGGCACAGTTAGCTCGACAGCATTGATCTACGAAGACGACGCAAAGATTTGGAGGTCCATCAGAAGCGAAGAGGATTCGACTGAGCTTCAGAAGGACCTTAAATCTATTGAGGGATGGGCAGAGAAAAACAGTTTAAAACTAAATCAACTGAAAAGCCACGTCATATACATGACGCAAGCGATTTTCACAACCAAGGCAAATGCGACCCCTGACTTTATGCGAAGACAACTTGGTTCTATCACCCCACTACTATTCTTAACGTTGTTTAGGGGATACGTGCGCCAACTCATGGAGTTTCACAACGTCGTCGCACCCCCTCTGCTTAAAAGAGTCATATATCTCTTAGATCGAGTGCAGAGATCACTAATTTAATCTATCTGGCTTATTGTCTCAGTTCCTCTCCCTTGCTTGCACTTCGGTCATCTATCACAATATTCTCTACCAATTATTAATCTGAATTATCTATTTATTTAATGATTTCTGAAATCTTATTGATATAAGCATTAGATTTTTCTCACTATTATTCTCCGACTAACTGATCTCCGGTCTGTTAATGTGACGGCTGCTGTTATCCAGAAACCCTACTGCTTTGAAACAAACGTTTTCATTAAAACCACGTAACATACAAACTCACAAACAGCTGCTAATTAGACATTTGAGTGTCTAGACCTTCATTCATTAAACACTACCAAAAACCTGGTACCGTACCGAAAGGACAAGAATCGAGCACAAACAAAATAATTTGTTTATATTGGCTCGTGAAAAATATATTGGATATTGTAAGTGGTCGTTTAATTGTTACGTACGCTACTGTTGGAGTCTAAATGAATCCACATCCACCCTTCATCTTTTTCAGCAAACCTGTAAGCCAGCTTCCACAAAATCAGATATATTTGAATCGATGGGTTAGTGATAATAATAATAGTAGTAGTAGTAGTTAATGAGTTAATCGGGAGATTATAATAAAAGGAATATATATATATATATATACAAATATAATTGCTTAATAATTATACAGCAAGACTATTCTAAATGATAATTCATAAATCGGTGTCGGTCATTAGAGCTCTAATTCCCTCAAATGGAAGTAGCTTTAAAGAATCCATATTGTACAATTTCCTTTGTTTGTTTGTTTAATAAGTCATTCGTAGGACAATAAATAGCAGTGACTCAGCAAATAAGGGGTTATATGACAAAAGGTAATTATTGCTTTAAAATTTTAAATATTTCTTATTCTATGAGCATAAGTGCACGTTTATGTTTGAGTCCCATTCCCACATTATTTTTATGATAAAGTTAACGAAATAACGCCGAAATAATCACTGACTTATATTCTGAACCATGACTTACATATGGTCTCGCACTAGTAGTTCGCAAAGCCTCAGCCCCATCGTGGTTTTAATGAATCGAAATATACTAAGCGCAATTATGCCGTGTCATAACGTATATCACCAACTGACTATATGTTTATTAGTTTAACGAAGTCAGTCACTAACAACGTAGGATTCCGTACGTACATACATCAATTCATGTCGCCATACCACATTAGTACAGAAACGAAATTACCAATTTAAATCCCTTTGTCATAGAGTTAGTAGAAGTATCAGCAGTAATCAAAAAGGTTATTAATCGAATATAGATAGACAGATACAGCACAGAACTTCGTACGTACGTACATCAGTTCAGGTTGCCATGCCCATCAGCGCAGACGCAACTGTCAGTTCAAATCCAACAGTGATAGCAATAATAGAAGTATTAGCAGTAATGGAGAAGACTAGGGAGCGAGGTCTCTAACCACCGGTGTATATCGTCTCGCGGACCCCAAACCAGGTAGTCTACATCTACCAACATGACTCAGTCCACTTGTCAGTGACTTCATGGATCTCTGCCAGCGAGACCCTTGGAAGCAGCATCAGGGCTACCGGATACAGGAAGAGTAAATCGGGCTGCTTCTTCGTTTTGACAAGGCGAAATCAGATTAATAACTTTACTAGGATCCTGTCTGCGCGTTTCCTAGACGCAGCATACGTCAATGGCGCGAGATTCTTAAGTTCTAGCTAACGAAGCCTGTTGCCCTATTCGACACAATGTCCGTACATTAGAAGCTCCAACATGTAGTTTAGAGCGGGGTTTCAGGAGACCACAACTGACGTTTTGTGAACTCACATCGTTTGCATTAGCTGTGCAGTGTGATAAAGGAATGTGAGAAGAGTTAGTCGTGGAGATAAGAGAGGTATTAGGGGGTGTAGGAAGTATTTGATTTTGACCAATTTGGTCTGGTGTGCTGTTACGGGTATGAGGGTGGTTGTCACTTCCCGCCCCCCCCACCGTGGAAGGTCGATTCTTGAGGAACCCGAAAAGGAATGTATATTAGCGTTGGTCTTAGAGACATGGGTGCGTGACTGCAGAGTACAAGGGACAACTGCTTGAAGCAGGTCACGCACAGCCTTTTTGTGAGAGGTTTTTTGAGTATTAGCTCCGCTCTTCAAATCCCTTAGTGGGCAGTCCTTACCGCTGGAGACAGAAATCCATGAGGTAGGATGATGTGTGACATTTTTAGGGTTGACCTTTTCTAACCCTTCCTTCCTTGTGAGAAGGCAGCATTGCTGCAGATGCTGGTTGTCCGGGGGAAACACCTCTGGCATAGTAGAACCTTCAGGAACATATGTTCCAGCCAGTATAGCTCGGTCGGGTCATCACGATAGTCAAGCCCGACCACCACGTCTAGGTGGCAGCTACAGTCGGGATTTAACGAATATATCATTCGAGATGTGCACAGCAGAGGAATCAGTTATAAAAAGAGGAAAGAAACGATCATGAGGAATTCAGAAGATAAAGCTTTGAGAGTACTCAAAGAATGGGTGTACCTGCGCTTTTGCGAACGGTTTTGAGCCATGTCGTTCAGGGTCTCTAACCATCGATTACTATCATCTCGCGGACCCCAGCCACGTATTCGACACCTACCGGCCTGACTCAGTCTACATGTCAGAGACTTCATGGATTTCTACCGTGTTGTGGTTTGGCCGCCCCTAGCTTTCTTCCAACCTACTCCTACACCACAGTCGGTGGTTAGGCGTACGCAACACATGTCCCAACCACCTCAACTGATGAAGTTTCAATACTTCATCTATTGATTTGCCATCCTTACCTAGTACCTGTTTCCTAACAACTGAATTTTTGACTAGATAGTCGCAAGATAAGTGGACAATGCTTCGGCGACACTTATGATCAAAATTTTAACGAAGGAAGCCGAATCATTTACGCATACCACAACATTTCATTTTTTCAGCATAGATACTTGTTTTATTTGTCGTTTAGGTACCAACTAAGCACGTCTGCTATTTTTATCAAGCTGGTTGTTGTAAAAATGGGGACAAATGCACTTTTGTACACCCCAAGGTTCGTTGTCGGACGTTTTCCGCAGACGGTTGGTGCCCTTACGGATACAATTGTCATTTTTGGCATGATCCTTCTATTAAGCCGGGCATTATCAGCATGGTCAAAAAGCCTTGCCAATTTTTTGCAAACAATCAATGTAAATATGGTGACAAGTGTAGTTTCTCCCATGATATTGATGTCCAAAACAATAATGGGATTACGTTGGAAGAATATCGGGCAACAAAAAAGGTGACAAGCTTGTGTAATAATATCCAAGCTCCGAAATCAACTACTGAAACGTCAAACTGCAAACATGTTGGTGGTCACTCTGAATGTGATTTTCTCAAAATATCACCATCAGTTATAAAATCTAAACGAACTGAAACATCCTTAGATAAAAATTTCAACAGTGTGAGACAACCCTTTAAGAAATATGCATCTGTGAATACAATTGATTTTCAAGCAGCTTCAAGAGAGGAAATTTCTGTTTTGAATCATTCTGAGCTGGAATGCCTGAAAAAGCACTTTCCTCCCGACAAGTTATGTGAAATAGAATCAAATGAGGACCACCATATGTTTTTTGTTAGATTCTCTTCCACGGATCCAGATTGGGTTAGTTGTTTTGTAAATGGCGAGTGTAAACTGAAATTCAATTGTCATATTAATAAGAACGTATCAGTCTAGATATTTTAAATTTGGAGTTGTTTTTAACATTCCAACCCACTTGATCAGAAAATTCTCTTTATAAACAACCCGAAATCTCGTACTTCCCACCACGTACATATTCTGTCGGGTCAAGAATTCTTGTCTCTTATATCGAAAGGTTTTGTTTATCAGATACATTTTAGAGTAAATGAGGACATAACATAACTTTTAGGGAGCATTATGATGTACACCTATGTCTTTATTTAATACGTGGTTTAAACATGCCAATCCTTGACTGTTTTCACCACTAAAAGTCGATTTATAGGTTGTTTTAGAACATGTTTCATGGTAGTTAAAGTTAACAGTAGCATGACTACAAAACCTAGTAAATGACTGTTGTAGAACGGCATAACTGTTTGAAGTACTATTAAAAGTTATTAATTAGAATCAAAATGCCTTTCAGTAAAGACTTCCGTCTTTCACTAAAGTATACTTTAACATAGGAAAATCAAGTATTTCAATTTCTTACACATTTGAAATCATTAATCAATCATCATTGTTAGACCACCATTAGAAACCTGGAAGCACTGGACGGCCATTTCGTCCTAGTATGTGACTCCTCAGCAGTGCGCATCTACGACTTCTGCTCCTCGCAGGATTCGAACCCGGGACCTTTGGCATTGTAGGCGAACGCCTTACCATCGGACCACTGGGCTGGCATCCAACGGTGTTAATGTCTAACTCTGATTGATTTAGGGATTTTTGCGCGACCTCACCCATTTGTCTTTGGTAGTTACTGCCTACACCCGACAGGGTTGAACTCCACTGGTCACGTCTTCTCAACTAGAACTCCGAGAATTTCCTCACGAAGCTAGTCACTAGTGAGCACTGTTACATTATATTGGGGCACAGTTTTGGAGGTTTGCGTTTTTACACATTTGAAATCATTAATCAATCATCATTGTTAGACCACCATTAGAAACCTGGAAGCACTGGACGGCCGTTTCGTCCTAGTATGGGACTCCTCAGCAGTGCGCATCCACGACTCCTGCTCCTCGCAGGATTCGAACCCGGGACCTTTGGCATTGTAGGCGAACGCCTTACCATCGGACCACTGGGCCGGCATCCAACGGTGTTAATGTCTAACTCTGATTGATCTAGGGATTTTTGCGCGACCTCACCCATTTGTCTTTGGTAGTTACTGCCAAAAAGTGCATATATTCTTATTTTGCATTGATCACTGAAGATTATACGGCTTTTTTTAACTCCTTGGGAACTGCTATGTTTGATGTGTGCGAACTATTTAAAAAACATTTTCCTCATTATTCAATAATTTACTAAGTACATCTCATACGATTTGTTCTTTTTACTTCTCTGAAATTCTACTTGTCAGACTTCGTAAAGAAGGTCTCCGATGTGTAAACTTTATCGGATGAATAGTAAAGAACCTACTTCGTATTTCTATGGTCAAAGTGATAAATATGCACGAAAAATACTAAGCAGTTGGGATGTGGAATGTTTCTACATAGATATATCCGCGTCAAGCTTATTTTACAGATCAAGGACATGGAGTTCCTTTGGTCCTTTGGTTCATGCACAAATATTAGTGTTTTGGGTATTCTATGGTCTGTCTAACAAGCTTTTCTTGATACAATCTTCTAGACTCACGGAGGGTCGAAGAAAATATTTTCGGCTCCCGGATATTAGGATTTTGTTTTATCAGTGCCCAGTATCCTAGATCCTTCCAAATTCCTTTACTCTTATGAAGAAGAGTGCGGACCCCCTTACTGAACCTCTGTGGGGAGTTTCTCAGACTCCTGGGTGTGGTCCGAGGAGTGAGCGACGCAGTAACTGTAATGTGCAAATCTCTGAATACCTCACAGACCGTTTTAATGGGGGGTTCGTAGCTCTATCACCTAATCTAATAGGAATGCTGAATGTTAAAGAAAGACACCTGGGTGGATCTTATGGTTTCGCGGCCGATCTGCTGCAGCTATGCTCAGATAATCGCTTATTCCTAGCAAACATTAACTGTAAGCATAAGGACAGACATCTCTTGACATGGTGACTCCCAAAGTCGTTCCATCACTGGATCTAACTAGATCACATCGCTATCAGCCACCGATGGAGGTGTTCAATAGAAGAAGGCTGTCGCTCGTTCTAGGGCACATGTTTAGATTCAGACCAAGCTCTAGTGCGAGCGCGTATTTGTTTGAGGCTTACCGGTGGTAGGATAGACACCGCAAGAAAACCTCTTAGGTTTCTACCTAATGATCTCAAGACTAAGAATATATTTCGGGAGCAACTAGAAAGGCAGTTAGGCAGCCATGTCAATGATGTCCACCTCGAGGTAGCTTGGAATAATATCCGAATAGCTATGTAAACAGCAACGAAATCCGCCAGTAAGATAAATCATAAGGTTGGGGAGAAGCAGTGGATCTCAGCTGCATCCACCGAACTGATAGACGCTCGTAAACTCATCCCACCTGGCTCTGAACATGACGAAGAGCGAAGTCACCTAGAAGCGCAGGCTGATAAAAAGCCTGCGCAATGATCGTGAACAGTGGTGGGTAGCGAGAGCAAACGCGTTGGAAAAGACAGCGGCGATAGGCAAAAGTAGACGGTTGTTCTGATTTATTGGGGAAACTGGTATTAGGAATCCATCTGTTAGAGAAACTATCTCCGAAATGGATGGTCTTATGATTCATTCTCAATCCAGGAGATTGGATCAATGAGCGGAAGACTCCAGGAATCAATTCAACTGGTCGTTTGGCACACTTCGGTTACCCACGATCTCCAGTCATCCTGAATGGCAAATGTCCCCCGACTCCTAATGAAGTTGAGAAAGCGGTGATAGGGAACTTTTCAGACTTATCAGGAAGCTGGTAGTAGGAACCCCACCTACCACCACGTCGAGGTAGTAACTACGGTCTGGTTGTAAGTGACTGACTGAGTTTTGTTATGTTCGGTCGTGCTACACCACATGCCTAAAGATAATTTCTGTTTCGAATAAGTTAGGGGTAGGTTTAAAAAGTTCGCCGGAGTTGTTCGTAGGTTTCGTGTTTCTTGCGCTGTTTGAAAGATACATATCGTTTAGTTAATCCCCTGGGTAATACAGACTACATAAAATCGTCCATCATTGTAGGCAATCCTAAATAAAAATTAAATGTTGTAAACAACCGAATCTCCCTACTTTGGGGGAAATTTTTAATTTTTCGTAAAGTCGTTTAAAAAACTCAGCATAAGGTATAGGTAGTAATTCCGACAAATAAAGCTTCAGTTCCTTCCCTATGCTTCTAGGTTCTTTTGGCTCGGACCAACGTTAAATTTCAAAATTAAGTGACTTATTTTCTACACATTGGGTCAACCAGATTTCTATGACGTCGATTACACACGGCTTGGTAGTCTCTCTGTACATCTAGCTCCGCTTGTCGAACGAGTTTTGGGCTTTTGTTTAACATATCCAAACGCCATTTAAAGTGGCTTCTGCATTATTTTCTGTCGAAACGTCATGACCCAAAAGTTTACAACTCTAGGGTTGTTTTTCTCAGCATCTTAACTTAACTTTTCTTCGGTCACAGTACAAGCAGTAAGTCTTTAGGAACAAAAACGTCTTGTCCTTCTCATCTTATATCCGTTCTGTGATAAAGCCCCTTTCAATTTTATATTTTAATACTATCTATAGCAGCCTGGTTTGACTTTCTTCCAAATCTGTTTGACTGCCTAGTGCTTTAGCACGGTGACTCTGCAGGTATCTTAATGTACTATCTGGTTGACTGACTTTTTGTCAGTCAAATGTCATGCTCAGAGCTCCTAGTATCCCTGACTACACAAAAATGACTAACTGTCACCATGATCAGCGTTTGATTTCTCAACTTCAGATAAGGAGATTGGTTTTTTTATAACATTAGGTCGTTTGTTTTAAAATTAAAACAGTTATCAATTACTGACATGAGGTTTATGTAAATAATTAATACTTTGTTCAAGTTCGTAATGTTATAACTTCCTTGAAGTTGTCTGTTTAAAATGTTACTTGAAAGAATAACTCACTTTCTCTGATACATTACTGTTTTTATTCGTTTCCTAGGCCTATGATGTTCGTGAAATAATACTGAATATTTACATCCCACAAATGTATCCCAAGGAACCACTTCGAATTTCAGTGGTAATGCAAGAATACTTACCAGTTATCTTGGTTGAGTAAGTGTTTATCTCATTTTTTTGATAATTTGTGTCATTTCTGATGATGGTACACATTTATGTGCATCTATATATTGTTTCCACGCAGCCACTTAAATAAAGCAATCACTTCTTGGGTTAGATGTAAGCACCAATATTTGGAACGAACGAATCGTCTAGAGCTATACTTACGACCTTTTCTTTTATGGCTTGATCGTAACTTGGAAGAATTATTCACTGATGGATTACGCAAAGTAAGTTTGTGTTTATGTTTACTCTAGGTAGTTTCCCATTTTTTAAATTTAGATTATTTTTGAAGACAAGTATGTTAAGGGTAACATTAGCAGAAGGAAAACTATCATTATACTACTGTTCACCATATTATTAAGAGCTATTGGTTAAATCAAAGTTTTAAAATTTCCCTAATTCTTCACTTCAGTATGAAATCTGTTTACTGTTTAAGTATTTTGTATCTCGTGATAGATATGAAGTATATTTTCAACGACTTGGTAAAATCCTGTGGATAATAATTAATTAAGTTAACCCGTTAATTTCAGAAAAATCAACCAGATTTTTTGTGTCAATGTCAATAGTTCAAAATGTGAGTGACTGCTGTCAATCACCTGTATTAAGAAGGAGTATTTAAAATATCATAGGCTTACTAACCTGCAATGTGAAGAAACTGCTCAGTAGTTCTATTGTTGCCATTATTCCCTCACCAGAAAACTGAGTAAAAGTCTCTTGATTTAATAAATTCTCGTATGAGGTTTGTTGCGATTCCATTTTAAACTAGTGCAGATATTTGGTGAGACGAAAGTCACCATTGGTTAGAGACCTTGAACGACATGGCTCAAAATCGTTTGCAATGGCGCAAGTGCATCCATTCGTTGTGCTCTCTCAAATCCTAATCTTCTGGATTCGTCAGCACCTCTACCTTTGTCTTTCTAACCTTATCTCACTGAATTATACTTCTTGAATAATATCTTCAAACCCTAGTCTTCTTAATTACCATTAATACCTCTACTATCTTTATCACTATGGGATTTGACATTTGCGTCTCTGTGCTAATGTGGTTTGGCAAAATGAACTTATGTACATACGTACGATGTTCTACGTTGTAACTGACTGACTGCCTGCAGATATTTGGTATTTGTAAACAGATATGGTAAAAAGTTGGAAAGTAAGGAAGTTAGCCGATTATTGTTTTCAAAGGAATATCGTTAATTGAATTTTTTTAATTTACCATGCCAATTTTTCCGGCGCAAACGCTCACACGTCTCCAATTAGAGATAAGAAGTATTGACTGTATGACGTTCATGATCCATTCAGTAAACTTGGTGTAATGTGTTACTTGTCAGTATTACAGTGATAATAAAGTCACCGAAAAGACATACATTTTGTTCAATTTATCTCCGACAGTTCCTTTATAATTTCGTTGTTTGAAAATTAAACGCTATATTGACTTTTAATTTATGTATTAAGATGTACGATGACCTAGTAGTCGTGGTACCATAATAGTGCATAAAACTGAACCAGTCACTCAGAATGCCTTACACAATATGCTGACAGCATGAAACCAAACTTCGTATATTTTCTTAACTAAGCACGTGGTCTTAATCTGCGAGGCACGATAGTCAAGTATATGAAGCAAGTTAGATAGGGAAATCGAAAATGTGTCACATGTATGTGATAAAACAACCAGTAATAGATAGATAACGCATGATATGTGTGCAGTTCAATTTTTACACACAACTTATTTCCTAAAAGACTCGAAATCATTGATCATATTAATTGTAACCATTGATTTGTATTTGGAAATCAGTCGGAAAGGAAATTGTGTTTGTTGTCGTTCCATTATTTAGTCCTAATGGCTTTATCAAATTAGTAGCAAAGCGTCATCAAAAATAACCTTGTTTTATTTTTTCACTTATTGATAAATACAAATTACTGCTAATAATAAATATCACTTCTCAAACTTTTTGAAACCAAAAAATCAGTGGTCAGCGGTAGTTGTTAAACCCACAGTTCTGTCCTCAAGTCGTGGAAATGTAAAGGAATAGATGCACTTATTTGATCGTATAAAAGATAGCGTTAACATACAACGGCACTTCATGAAATCATCGTTTATTAGATTTAAGTTCAAGTGCTTTAAAATATTTAATAACCTTTCTGTTCCTGCGTCACACGATCCTGTTATTTTGTTGCGCTTTGTCTGTATTCTACAGTTATACTCAGATGTGGATTTTGTAGTCTTGAATGGCCTGCAGACATTTTTCACACAATCTTATTTTGTAAAAATAAAATACCTTATCATAAATGACTTGCAGTATATATCATTCTAGGTTTTTATTTTCTTGAAATATTAAAATGTGTCGACCTTTTTTTATATTGGGCAATTGCACTGTTCGTTCTAACCAGTATTCATTGTTATTTTATTAAGTATAAAGCATTTTTAGAAAATGGAACACTGGATTCAGATTTATTTCCTTTGTTAACTAAAAATAGTGCCGATGTTATTTCTCGTTGCAAGTCAAATAATATGGATAATGGCAGTAATTTACCATCAAGTTATGATAATACAGTTGGTTTAACCCCTCCTGCTGTGATCGACGGGGAGATTTTAGGAGGTTTCAAATCACTGAACCTTAATTCATGTTCTGACAGTAATCCATCAGTTGCCGAAGGTGATAAAACCTCATTGGAAAACAAAATGCCTATCATGAATAAAGCCTCCAATAACATTCCATCCCATTCAGATGCATCATCAAATGTATCTAATATATATCACCTTACAAAAGAGAATGATTTTCAAACAAATTCATCATTGGATTATGATAGTATGATTGGTTTGATTCCTCCTGTTATACCGAGATCGAAACCAAAAGAAAGCCACGGTGACGATTATAATTCATGTGATGAGGATCAATCTTCAGTTAAAAGTGATACTAGTGTGCATTCACAAACCAGCGAATCCGTTTTAGAATCAGACAGCACAGATGATGATGTTAATGATTCTAGTAGTAAGTGTGAAGATTCCAAAACCTCGTACGATGGCGAATTGCAAGGACCATGTGAAGATCTCCATGATTCTCCACTAACTACCCGTGGTACACAGAAATTGTTAATGAGTGGTCTTAGGCTATTGGGTAAAGCAGGAACATACATACAACGACGACTTTCTGTTTCTCTACATTGCACGCGTTGTCGCTTGAATTTCCAATGGCTTTTCACGTTCCATGGGGCGCAAAGTATGAATGATTTTAATGATCCCAATACAGCACATAGGCTTCTACGTTCACTCCCACCACACACGGCTAATTGTGCACGCTGCCATCAAAAATTCAGTCTACTTTTTCAGTCTAGTTTAGCTCATGCATTTGACAACAATATTGGAACTCTACATTTAGATGGTTGTATTGCTGACGATGTCCCGTCGAAACAGTCTGATGGTATTATTTTGTGTACTGAATGTTTCCATTCAGTGCGAGTCACTGTGAGTTTTTTGGTTTATAACTTTTTATAGTTGATTTTTTTCATTATATAAACTTGCACACAATAAAATATCATATATTATAGGATAATTCTCAACATAATTGTTTGGAACACTTAAAGAAAGTATCTTTTGTAAACTCATTAGATCAGTACACACATTAATTTTTATTTAGACGAGAAGTAAAACAAAATGACTGTAATATCCAAATTAGTAGTGGGGCAGTTATCCACTCAGCATCACGAATCGACTTAACGTTAAGATACAAACCATTGGATACGAACTCTTTATTCTGAAGGTTAAGTGCTCGTCCAGGTTTTTGAAGATCTTAGTGGCATCACAGTTGCACACAGCTGAGTCTTATGCCAAGGTAAAACGACTGTTCTGTGCTCATTGGTTTCCTATATTTGTCTAGCTATAGTCAACCCACGATGTACACTACGAAAATTAACAATCTCCCCAAAACCGTCCTATCTATTTATTTTAAGAATACAATATGGCACCAAAAAATAGAGTACATCTGTTCAGTATCCCCCCCCCACACACATAATAATTACTGTTCATAACCCTCTATACTATTAATTTGTGTATATTCATGAGGTTTGAATAGGTTCACTCTCAATATTTAAAATGATCGTCCAGGGTAATTGAATAGTTGAAGGCAGCACTTCATCTTATTTTAATGCTCATACGTTCTGGTACAGTAGAACACAAAGAAATGCTCTGTGTGAGTGGAATGATATTGTCAATAAATAAGCGGAAAAAATGTATATGAACAAGAATGCAGTCCAGTTAAAGATACAGCCAAGAAGAACGTCATTCACAAGTATGAAAGTCTTCAATGAAAATCGGTGGCAGAATTTCCATTGGCTTTTAATCCTGTATGTGATAACATCCGAAGCCTTTTAGCCAAACACTACTTAGAGCCCCAACCAAGGAGTTGCGATGTCTCCACTCGTGACACTCCTTGTCTAACATCGTACCATATCATGAACCTATTACCTCTCCAATTTCGCCCCTCGTTTGCAGCACCGACAGGTAATGGGCGATGTATAAGTCGTTGGAATAACATTCATAAGACATGATCAACCCATCGAATTTGGCATTTCAAGATAGCGATACCAACTAAAATACCTTTCTCCCAGCATATGGCCTAACGTAGTATTGCCACTGGATTTTAGCAGTCCTTCAGAAAATACTATGACCGAACACAGACTTATGGAGAAAGCTGATGCCCAGCACCTAAAAAGGGTTAGTGGGTACTAGAAGCCTACCTTGATTCCAACCTAATGATATACATGAGTCAAGGAATCTTTAATAAATGAATACGATAAAATCTATTTTAGTCGTAGCTTTCCTTAATTCTCTATCGCCTGATGTTACCTCAAGACCTTATAGACTTTCAGTAAAAGACTCGGCAAGTGGTCTCATAAGAGAACCACTTACTTCGACTTGAACATCCGGGCTGGCCTCACACAAATAGGATGCTGGATAATAATGAGTCTAGTAGGGTTTACCAGTGTATCAAGCACTTCAGCTAATCATCTTCCTCATATTTAAAGAAACCTTTTCAAATTAGTTACAAAAATCATACGGCCAGCTCAAATAAACCGGATTGTCACTAGCCATCGTATGAGAGTCTTGGTTGAAGACCGTTGCATATTCTGAAGCACGTGTTTGTCTCTCTCTTATTAGACGCAAACAAACCAACGCAATAAAGCGGCCTAGAATTTAATTTAATGATTAAATAATTGAAAATATAGTTCAGGAATAACTAGAGGAGTTAATGAACTATGTAAGCGATATCCACACAAAGGTAGCTTGGAATGATGTCCAAAAAGTTAGGGAATCAACAGTGATATCTATTAGTAAATCATGCCTCAAGGTTAAGAAAATTCAGTTAATTTCAGACGCATCTACTAAACTTATAAATGCTCGCAAATTCATCCGATCTATCTCCGAACTCAATGTGGAGCGGAGGTAGTTTAAACCCAGGTTGAGTAAAAGCTTACGCAATGATCGTGAGCAATGATGGATAGTAAAAGCGAAAAAGATGCGAGAGGTAGCGACGATTGGTAACAACAGACAATTATTCAGACTTGTTAGGAGAAAAGATTTTAGGAACAGCTGTTGGTGATACCATTTCAGAAAGAGACAAGACTCTCAATCCAGGAGATTGAACTGATGTACAGAGCGCTTCGAAGGACAGTTCAGTCTGAGTAGCAAATTGATGTTAGTCTTTCATCTCTTAGTGGGATTGAGATAATAGTAATCTAAAATGAGGGGGATCGCGTCTTAGCGTTTATGTTGTAATCAGTTAATAGTCAGTGCCATTTAATACTGCTCCGTTGCTCATTTTTCCTCAAAACAACCCTTTAATACACTGGTAAGCTAGACCTCACACATATTTCCTGCTTTTTGTTGTAACAGGGACTTGATTTCGGCTGTCCTCTTACACGACGCTGCTTTAATTGTCACTCGCTAACTGGATTAGAATTTAACAAATTTCAATTAGAATTATTAAAACAACCAAGTTGTAAGTACCACAAAAATACAAATTTATATTTTATGTTATTTAATGTGTTTATATGCTAAGTAATTTTTTTGTTTGTTTGCTTTTTTAACCAATATCTCTTCTTGTTCATTTTCCAAATAACTCTAGGAAACATTTGCTTTTTAGATCAAGCATTCTATGGTCTCGCAATGTAAAAGATGGAAATGGGGGATAAGTTATTGATAATATTTTGGAAGTTATGGTTGAAGATTATTAATCACTGTTATTTTAAATTTCTGTTGTTTGTTGCAGTTTGGGAATTCTGGTTTCTTTCCGTAATGCTAAAACATGTTTCAGAAAACAGCAGAATAGTTGTTTCATCTCGTTCGGTTCTTAGTGACTGTTTCATGTATAGTGTTTACTGAAAGCTACTTCGAATTTACCAAATTTATTTAGTCTACTGACACTTCGTCCACCTAAGACTTATTTATAAAGTCATCCAAAATGAGTTTATAGTGTCATTACGTTCTGTTGCCCATCGACCTTAAACCCTAAGGCGGCATTCAGGTCTGATGATAGTGAGGTGCCCGTTATTGAAAGGTGTACCGAAGGAGTAAATTAACCTCATATAAGCTCACTACTCGAAAACTACTGGTTAGAGCTTATGGCGAACTGCCATCGGAATTCATCACTTCAAGTGGTGTCCATCAGGGCTGTTCACCTTCTCGATTCTTGTTTAACTTTGTTACTTTGGCTGCCCACTAAGGGATTTTAAGAGCGGAGCTAATACTCAAAAAACCTCTCACAAAAAGGCCATGCGTGACCGGCCTCAAGCAGTGGTGCCTTCGGCTCTGCGGTAACGCTTCCAGATCTCTAATAACACCGCCAATATACCTTCTTAGGTTCCTCAAGAAACACCCTCCCACCGTGTGGGCAGCCGGGAAGTGACAACCACCCTCATACCCGTAACAGCACACCAGACCAAATTGGTTACAAACAAATCCTTCCTACACCCCCTAACATCTCTCTTATCTCCACGACTAACTCTTCTCACATTCCTTTATCTCACTGCACCGCTAATGCAAACGATGCCAGTTCACGGAAAGCTATTCCCAGTCCCTTGAAACTCCGTTCTAGACTATATGTTGGAGCATTTAAGGTCTGGACATTGTGTCGAATAGGACAACAGGCTTCGTTAGCTAGGACTTTAGAATCTCGCGCCATTGATGTATGCTGCGTCTCGGAAACGCGCATACAGGATCCTAGTAAGACCATTACTTTGACTCCACATTGTCCAAATAAAGAACCAACTCGGTTTACTCTCCGTGTGTCTGGAAGCCCTGCTGCTGCTTTCTGTAGCTCCGCTGGTGTCGGTGTAGCATTGAAAGCAGAACTAGCTCTTTTAGACTGGATTCCAGTAGACAGTCGCTCGAGAAAAGCAGGTTGGTTTCCGACCTGGACGTGGATGGATAGACCACAATTCTCGAGTCTGCTTCATGAGCTCTAGTTGGAACTACGATTATGACTGAGGCCAATATTTTAGATACAGTCGTTCCGATTTATTAAGGAAACTGGTATTAGGAATCCATCTGTTAGAGAAACTATCTCCGAAATGGATGGTCTTATGATTCATTCTCAATCCAGGAGGTTGGATTGATGAGCGGAAGACTCCAGGAATCAATTCAACTGGCCGTTTGGCACACTTCGGTTACCCACGATCTCCAGTCAACCTGAATAGGAAATCTTTAAACTCTTAATGAGGTTGAATAAAATCAGCTACATCGGAGCTATTGGTTAATGCTAAATATTTTGGTTAATAAGTAGTGATCAGAGATAAGACGATTGATATGCTTGAGGCTGTTACGAGTTCACGTTAGTTGGTAAGCGGAACGAAGACCAACCGATGCAGTGACACGATAGGCTATTCTAATCTGACTTTCCGAGGCCCAGCTAACTAAAGCGAGATGCCTTGACAAGACATAGAGAGAATGTAATCACAGGTGTCCAGAAAATTTGGTGTTCACAAGCACACAACTCAAGTTCATTTATACAGTTATAAAATTACGTTGGTGAGAGCCGAAAATTGCGTACTAAAATAATCCATCAATCAATGACAGTCAAAGATTTTCGCAGTGGGAAATGTGATCTGAAGGTCATCTAGGCGTCTTTGGCGCGAAGACGTTAAAATTTAAAATTTCGGGAATAAATACGAAATAAGGACCTTCCTCAAGTGAGTTCTGGGGATCTTAAGTTCGCTGCAACAACTCATACCAATTATTTTTTTATTACTTCAGTTTATAGATAATCCAATACGTAACCTTTTTATCGTTTTTGGAAGAATTTAGTTGTGCCGCTTGCCTTGCAAAACAACTTGTCAATCGGAAGATGACAAATATGGTGGTAACTGGAATCATAAAGAAACAAAGTGCCTTACAGAAATCTTTTTGCTTTTTCTAGTAATTTTTTAACTGAACATTAGGAAAAATACCAGATCGCTCAATCGTATAATTTTTTAAAATTTATTCTGGTAGTCTGTGTTCAAATGGATATTATCACTCCAGTGATATTTTCTCATGACACTCCAAAAGTATGGGGAACAACTGACAACTTTTAATGCTAACAAACGTCCTTTCAAAACAGGTTTTTCACTACATGACTAATGCATGGAAGCAATTACTTTAAAGAGAACCAGAATTCATGTGTTCTATTCAAAAGTGACTCCATAAATGCTATCAAAGTTACGTTTGTCACTTTATTTCCGTTACGGCAGTAATAGTAGTATATGGATGACCTAAATGAAGCAAATATAAGAGTTCTGCTCAAAAACTCCAGTATAGTTATCGTTTTTTGTTGGTGTCTTTGATTACTTAAACCTATTTTTTATTTTCATGGATTATTTATAGCCGAGATTTCGAAAAACAGTTGTAGTACAAACCAAGATTTATCTTCTCAAATCTCCCGAAGAATGCGACGTACCATGAATTCAGCCCAGAATGCGCTCATTCAGGATGGATCACCCTTACCAGCTTATGGCAGCTGTAAACATTATCGAAAAAGCTATCGATGGTTGAGGTAGGTTTAACATATACATCCAGTCAATACTTGACAAAGTGCCAAGCATTTTGGAAATATACATTTGGACAAACGGTCTAAGTATCCACTACATAAACTCATTTTTGATTAAGCATTTGAGAATTAGCTCGAAACGTTAGTCTGATGGTAAACTTTTTAATCTCACGTATGTACTAGGTATACTCGATATTAGCATTTATAGGATGATAATGAGCATTCATATGTCTGAAATCAGAAACTTACACAAATGGTTAAAAATGAATATAGTCAACTAGATTTAATGAACAGCCTGATTACTTGAAAAAGTCATATGCTATGCATAGAGCACTCAACAACTTATATTGTGAACGAATGTCAACAACTTAGGAATATAAATAACCGATACATGTCTTAATACTACAGCATAAAAATATTCATAGCGATAGTTATATCTATAACAGTGTTTACTTAATTTTGTTTTACTTCTAAAAGGTTTCCCTGTTGTGGACGCCTAGAACCATGTGATGTTTGTCATGATAATTCTGCTGTTGATGGACACGAAATGGAACTGGCTACTCGCATGGTTTGTGGATTTTGTTCCAAAGAACAACCATTTTCTACTAGCAAACCATGTATTAGATGCGGGAAGATGCTATCAGGAACTCGATCTTCACATTGGGAAGGTGGAAAAGGATGTCGTAATCAAGTGACAATGTCTCGGAAAGATTCAAGAAAATATTCTCAAGTCAACAAGGTTATATCTAAAAAGAAAACCAAGCGAAACAAATGATAAGTACCAATTCTTACAAGATTCACCTATAAACAAAAATTGTTTAAAAATTTCCATCATATTACAACAAATACTTAGAGGAATGGGAATCATTCTTCCTAACAAATGGTTTTACAACTAAAATTTAAACAAATGCAACTAAATTTCAAGAAATTAGAGAATACGAACATAAATTCTGAAATATTTGACTTACATATGAGCTATCCTTCTGAATTATTAATATAAACTCAAATCTACAGAACATGATGGCAATTAATAAAATATATATATATATATATATATATATATATATATATATTTTTCATTCACAATGTTTATGTTTTAATAAATAGCAACTGTTATCTTCAGTACATTGTTTTTATACTAAATTTTTTATATTAAGAAAACAATCCTTAAATTATGAGTTTGGAATTTTCCACTTTGTGATGAACATTTATTTTATTTTTCATCCATATTTTATTACTAGGTTCTTGAACAGTGTCATCTTTCTGAATGCTTTTTTTTATTATTTTTTTACACAGACAACTAATCACGTTACTTTACTTTTGATATTTGTGTTTAGTGAGTAATTTTTTCAAGTCTTTTCATAATGATCCTGGTGAATAGATTTTATTTGGAAGTGATTGTCTTTCAACAGTCACAAAATGATTATGAAAAAGATTCTGTCCATCTCCAAAGATTTAATTTATGTCTTTATGCCAATGCAATGATTTGATTGTTTAGTTTTTATCATTAAATTAATATGACCTACTGATATGATAACATATTTAAAACAATACATTCACATAGAAATTGTATCAAGAACTACGTATCAAAGTATTCAAATATGTAAAACATTAATGCAGCCAAACATAACCGTTAATAAGAATGATTATATTGTGCTTTAAGATTACGATTCTTATTTTAAATTACTAATCTCAAAATAAGAAAAGTAAACAGTCAATACGACAAATAGTTTCATGATAAGTCATTATGATTAATTTCCATAAATAATTTGGAAATTTTATTTGTACTTCGAAAAAATTTTCTACTACATAATGATAAATTTAAAAAGTACACATGATTCTCTGCATAATAAATGTCACTCAACAATTAGAAATTTGCACATGCTTGCGAATGTTTTCATTGCATATATATGAAATTTACAAGATATGTAGAATGTAATTTTTTACACGTTGCTTTTCAAAATCGTTGGACTGTTTCCACAAATAAGTGTGTATAAATTACGGAAAGCTGACGCACGATTCCTACAAAAAGAGCAATAATAATGGCAAAGTTTGACTTTTCTTACTTAAATTGAATTTACAATAAAATAAAAGACAGGTTTGTGGTAGTTCTTACAACCTTTTTAACCAGTAATTTAGGACGACTACAATATACAAAAACTTTATCAACGTTTGGTACACAAATATGTTCAACACGAGCTTACAGAAACACAAAGCATTTTTGAATGTACAACAAGTGTATCAGTGTATACACGCAACGGTAAACTATTGCATTATAAGTTAAAACCTTTGATGCAGACGAATGTGTTGTAATTTTTCACGATTCCTAGAAAAAGAGTAATGTTCGTGCACATTTAATCTACAGACCAATATATTATTACTAATTTACTTTCAAATGACCTATCGACGGACAAAAATGATGCAAATTGCTTAGTGTCATACTAAATCAAGGTACACGAATTCATTTGATCAAAATGTTAGAGGATAAAAAAAAGAAAATAATAATTGTACTCCGATAGTACTCATGTGGATATTATTTATGTGAAATAGTTGGTTATTAAGACGAAACTCATACATATTGCTTTGAAACCAAGTGCAATTGTTAGTAATGTAGGCGTATCTCAGACCTTTGTTTTTAATCCGTATCATTATTTATCTTGAAGACTAACATCGTACAACGGAAATTCGAAAAAATTCATCTCGTTTAAATGTATTGACTAATTCATACAACTTAGGAAGTAACGAATAAACGAATACTTAATAAATTTCGAAGTAGGATTTTGCACAGTTGCCTAAATTAACATTAATTTTTTAAAAATTTCAGTGAGGAGATATTTTTTGGAAGATTCTATACTAATAAACATGTTTTACAAATGAGTATACAGTTAATACCAGTTAGGTGTCTGAAACTATATCCAAAGTAAAATCACCGACAGTACCAAAAAAGCCTGTTTTCTTGAAATCATATATATATAACCTCAACTGCTTTTGCGGAGCTGTACAAGTGGCCACCAATATATATATAAGCCACACAATAAAAATGAGGTTGTAGGAAGATAGAGAAAGAGCCGTGAGCATAATAAAAAATTAATAGAAATTAGTGTATGAGAGCGAAAAAATATTGCAAGAAACAGTTCAGTTAAGGAAAATACGATACTTCGCTTTTAGGTGTTAAGCACACACCAAACCTACAGACAATGATCGTCTACTGATTATATAAGGATTACATGACCTGGAAAGACAGCACCATCCGTGTACTCAAGGTTCACCTTTTTTAAAGATAAGGTAACTTTGAACATTCTCTGACTGCCAAAACGGTTCTGAACAAGCCTGTCAGTTACTATCTTTAGAAAGGGACGAAAGTAAGTCATCTGGACCTAGCGATGTGTAACGCTTCAAGAGCTGGAGTTTCTTGCAGACTTCTGTCTCGTTGGATGCAGCAGTCGTCGCCGGTCATGATTATTAGATTGTTTCACTACTTAAATTGTTTTGATTTTCTACTCATTTGTGAAACATATATATTAGTGTAAAGTCTCGATGAAGAACTAATTGGAAAGAAATATTTCTTCGCTCATCTTGTCCTTATAAAGTCTCGTAGAGAATGCTGAATGAATTTCGTAACAAGTAATAAGTTGACGCAATTTTCGAACTACATGCATTAGGAACTGTAAATGGGCACTTGAGATTCATTTTAATAATAAAGACAATCTGGATTTTTCCAATATAGTGTCATCCTTTTGAAGTATTCTCAACTGATGTAAAGAAAAGCACTAAAACAAATGAGTGTTATATTAGAACACAGGTATACAATTTCATAAATCTACTGAAAATTTCAGTAATACCGTCTATACTTTGTTAATATAGTACGATGACTTCCTAATCTAAAACAGATTAATCGTAAAAAAAGCGTGGCTTCGTTGATGATGATATACATTTATGTTGCTGACAAATTTCAATAGTGAAAAGATTACCCTTGTGAAGATTTAGGTAGTCCATAAAACATTTGGTTTATACATTTAACTAATCAGGTAGATGGGATGAATTAACCTATCTGTGAAATCTCTTCAAATTATTGCTTTTCAGTATTATTAATAATAAAAAGAGGATAGCCCGAAACCGACGAAACTATTTTCCTTGATATATTTAAATAATAATTAAGGTAAACAGTGTTATTAATATGAAAACCAGTTAGCTGTCACAAAACGACAAATACTGAAAACTCTCACCAAATGGCCTCAGACTTACATCGGTTTGGTAAATAAATGATCGGCAAGCAAATCAGGAAGGTTCGCTTTAAAAACTTTTAGAAGTTCGAGTTCTGTTTGCATGGATTCGAGCTCACTCCAGAGGTTCGTAAATAATAACGCCTGTTTCTCGCTGCCACTGAATACACACATTTGAGGGCAAGCCGTTAACGCTGATACGCGGGAAAATGCTCCTGGTGTGATAGGAAAGTTACCTTTGACATATAAAAATAATAATCACTAAGCAGTTATGAAAAGATGAACATCTATTTGAATCAGCAAAACCATACGCATTGTTACTAGTCTTAGCAACAGGAATTTTATTTTTTAATGAAGTCTGTCAATTAAGGCTGTTGAACTTTCTAGTTTAACTAGATTCCAGTAAACTGCCTTAGCATCGGCGGTGTTTTTATCAAAGGGCTTACAATTATTCGCTTTGTACAGCTCTGAATATTCAAAGCCTCATTATTATCAAGAAAACTGAGTATCCAACTATTTGAGAATTTCGTCTGGAAATTCTTACGGTTTCAGATTAAATATAGTCAAAAATCGTTCATGCAGCATTATGATAATTGACGAAGTTTCACCAATTACAATAAGTACTCGTATGTATTAAACTTAAGAGACTGAAGTTGGACCCCAGACTTTTACGTTGGTTCATAAGGGGTAAGAGAATATGATGTAATCAACTATAAGCAGAGTTTCATACTGAAGTATTGTGATCAGTGAATCTTAATTAATTTATATATACAACGCTCAGTTGTCGTGGAAATTAGTATAGTAATTTTGGTGTAACAATAGCACACGTACTAATGAAAAGTAGGTTTCGATTTCAGTGTGTAAATAGACAATATGTTTGGCTGATAACTAGTAGCAGCATTCGTACCTGTTAGATCGAAGCTGGTTACAATTTGATTGTGCAAGACATGATGATTTCCCAATAGATTCTGTATTTCTTAATTACGATCTATAAGAGTGTAGGATTGGAGAATGTATTTGTAATTCCCGTAAATTCTTAGTCTTACTATCGTTTGATTTATTACGTAATAAATATTATACGATTATCACAAACCTGATCAAACAAGTTTCGAAGCGATTCTTAACAACTGTCGCTTCCTTTAAATAGAACCATAGACATAAAAAAATGTAATTTGGACATAAAAGCAACCAAAGATTTAAAGATGGATTGATCATATTACCTATGGTCAGAAATGCTTCAAATGGACTTGGAGAAGCATCTGACTTGACTGAGCGTTTTGAAGCAAACCAGGTACTAATGGGATCATTATAGGTGAGCGGATCATAAAGAACATCCTCTGACGACAAGTCACTTGATCCAGAATTCACTTTTATCAACAGTAATCCCAGCAAGTTTGAAATACGGGTAAATTTTGAGAAAACTTGCTGAATCCAGCAAATCTCATTTGGACCAACTTTCTGTACATCTAGATACATATTAGCAATCACAAGATAACTAAATATTAGAATTTGTGTAAAAATCAATAAAAAATAGCTGGTCTATTTGTTGTGCGTGGTCAATAAAATTTTATATGATATACTTTTACTGTAAGCTTATGTGATTCACAAATCGAATTAACAAGTACGGTCAGCTTCATGACATTACCTGAAAATCGATTATTTATATGATGAGGATTTTAATATCCTATCAGTAAGGAGTGCGGAAATATACCGTGATATTTTTCTATTGAGATTATTAAATTTTTAGCAACGAAGAAGTTAAATACGGCAACTGGACTGATGATACTAACAAGAAATGTTTAGTTTACACTATCGGTTGATAGCTATTACGTTCTAGACAGCTTAATTTATAATGGCTTGATACAAAAATTATCATCAACATGCATCTTTTCCGTGGCATGTAGATATTATATATTTCTATGGAGAGATGGAATAAAATGACCAAAAAAATTTTTAAAGTTAGCGGTTGTTCGACGGTTAGGACAGGTCATCTGCTTTTGTGTACCGGTTATTAAACTATAGTGTAATATTCCTTTACTTGTTTCATATTTGACCTTTTATTCCTCATAAAAGTCCCGCGAGTCACATAATCGCTACATTATCCTGACTAGTTTCGGTCTATTTGCTGAAGATAAATCATTTGGATAGTTTGGGTATTATTACCTGAACTGATCAGGGATAAAGCAATTTAAGGCTGCTTTTCGTGTAATATTCTATTATTTACTTGGAAACAACTCTGCCTGTAGACCCTTCAGGTTCCAGTCCCAAGCCCAGATAAAGGAGGAGGGTTGAGATCGGGGTTGGTGACACCATTACGCAAAAAACTAACTTGCTAAAAAAAACGCTAAAAAGAAAAAATAATTCAAACCATTTAAACTTTTCTCTGCGAGTTAGGAGTTATTTATTTCGGAGAGTTATGACGTCTCAAGGTGAAAGCTGAGTTCCTTCGGAAGTCATCAGGCCGATGCCCCTTCTGACAATCAGAACCCTCCCACGGTATGGGAAGCCGGGAAGTCACATCCATCCTCATACCCATAAAAACACACAAGACCGAATTGGTCACAATCAAATCCTTTCTACACCTCTTAATAACTTTCTTATCTCCTCGACCAACTTTCCTTTCGATGGCTTATAACCTCGCGCCAATGAAGCAAACGGTTTGAGCTCACGAAACATTACACCTGATCTCCTGAAACCTCGCACTAACTTACATATTGGAGCTTCTAATGTGTGAACCTTGTGCCAAATAGGGACGGGCTCCCTTAGCAAGGACTGTGGAATCCCGGGCGATCGATGAATGCTGCGTCTCCGAAACGCACATACAAGATCTGAGTAAAATCATCAATTTGATTTCGCCTAGTGCAGATAGAGAGACAACACGGTTTACACTTCGTGTTTCCGAAAGCCCTGATGCTGCTTCCCGTGGCCTCGCTGGCGTAGGTATAGTATTAAGTCATACGGCGGAACTAGTTGGATCCCGTCAGACAGTCGCCTATGCGCTGTTGGATAAATGGGACGGTACGGTACGGACTCGTCGTTGCATCTTCGTCGTATCTGCCTACGCTCCACTGACTGCAGTTCAGACGAGGTAAAAGATAAGTGATACAGAAACCTCTCTAAACTTGTTCAAAAAGTTAAGCGCTCTGATATAGTAATAATGGCTGGTGACTTTAATGCTCAAGTAGGTATACTAAGTGAAAATGAAAGACATCTGGGTGGATCTTATAGTGTCGCGGCTCAGAGAGTAAACAATGGTGACCATCTGTTGCAGCTATGCTCAGATAACCGCCTATTTCTAGCAAACACAAACTTCAAGCATAGGGAAAAACATCTCCTGACCTGGCGACCCCCAAAGCCGACCCAATGATGGACCCAAATGGATCACATCGCTGTTAGAGACTCTGAATGACATGGCTTAAAATTGTTTGTAATGGCGCAGGTGAATTCATTTTTTATGTTCTCTCAAATCCTAAACTTTTTAATTCTTAATCAATTTATCTTTTTCTTGTTAAGTTTATTTCACTAGATTCTACTTCTTGAATAATATCTTCGAACCCTTATCTCTCCGATTACTGCTAATACTTTTACTACCTCTACTACCCAAAGGCTTTGAATCGACAATTAAATCTGTGTGCCAATGTGGTATGGCAACATGAACGAAGGTCTACGTTGCTGTTGATTGACTGACTGATTTACTTGGAAACAAAAATGATGGAATTTGACTCAATGTTAATTTCATACAGAATTTTTGTAGTATTAGCTGACATTGTCTGCACCAACAGAAAGACAAAGGTTTTTGAATAACAAAGTGAAATGAGTGTGGTATGCAAAGTAACAACTTTTAACTTCATCCTCGAAGAAAAAATCGCTAATAAAATAAAATTTATGGTAACCGCTAACTAGAAAAAAGCGTACACACACTTATGATGAATTGATTGCCGTTAATTTTACAAATGAGTTGAAGCAACTTTCTTTCTTTCAGAAATTTCATAATAATTTTTAACGAGCTTTTTATTGACGATTGGGTGAGGCAATTCCGTTCCAAACGATATTGAAATTAATAATGACCGTGCAAAGTTCAGTATAAATCCATCAACTCGTGAAACGATTTAGGACAAGCGAAATCATTGGTACAAAGTGGCACATAAATATTGATGTGCCAGGTAGTTTAATTCCCAAGGCAGTTGAGAAATTTGAGATGTAGTCCCATGGTAGCTGGTGACCTATGAAAAGTTCGTATACAATTGGTTCTGTCACGATCCTGGAGCCCGTGTGCGCCATTGGATTGGAATCGGTTTTCAAACTATCCTAAACTGATTATAATTGAAAAGACTAAGCCTATGATTCCATATAGGCGTAGACAGTGCTCGAATGAAAACATCACATCCCATTGCACTTATCAATATGTTTGTGTGGACACATACATAGGGAGGAGTAGTCGGACTTTGCAATGAAAGGTTATGGAACATGTACCCAAGTGGCTTAAAAATCAGTTAATTTTAGATGACCCGATAAACGTGGGAAATAAAAAAACCATGTTTATCGATCGCAAAGCACATAGTTGAAACAGGGCATAAAATTGACATCAAGACAGCCTTCATGACGTTGAAGGGAGAATAATGCGGTTTATGGAATCCTTGATTATTCGTAAATTAAAGCCCCCCTTATGTTTACAGAAACAATTTTTTATAACCTTGAATTTAACCTGGTAATCTCTAAGCTGTTTTATGACCTAGGGTAATGTGACAGTTTCCTACCCTTTCTTATTCTTTCTATACTACGTTAATTTTCTTTCTCGATCATTTACAATTATGACGTTATCCATTTGAACTTATATTTAATTGACTTTTTATTAATCCCCATATCAAATGCCTTGAAAAGTATATGCGTTTGAACTGTATAGCGTAAATACATGACATTTTTCAGATCAATTACGTCTTCTTACTGTTCTATCGAAATATCCTAATTGGATCCTCTGTACCTAACAACCCAATTTATACGTGGGGCATTAGCTCTACATCCTCTCAATTTCTTGAACAACACCTGTGTCACGACAAGGCAGTAAAACTTCTTTGGCAGTGGCTATAGACTCGTGGTAACATGAGGGCATTTTAAGCGAGAGAGCAAACTCTATCCCAGTTTCTGCTGTACCAGGGTTATACACCAACGACTCAGTCGTAGCGTACGGGCATGAGTTGTGTCAAACTGAAAATTACCCAAAGTTTTATAGAATGTAAGATGTAGTGAAACTAAGTAGTTTTATATCCGTTACAAAACAGCAGTCACTGATACAACCATATCATTAAAGTTGGGCAGACTTAAATTCTAAGGGTTGAAATAAGTCTCAATTTATTTGTGAAAGAGAATACTCACCAATGAACTGTATAAGACTAGTGAATTTGTTGAATAGAGCAATAGCAAGGTTGCACTTTTGGATAGCAAAGTATAGACCAGAAACTAGTTTGGATTCCGTAGAGATCTGAAGAAAATTTGAAAAGCAGGGTGTAAAACAATGGAATTTTGAAAATTCATTGGCACTATACTGCATTAAAATCAAATTAAAATTGTAATAACAATCATGAGTTTGATAGTTTATGTCAAGGTTTGGTACAAAATGCTAAAAAAACATATGTTCAGTGAATCTATTAAGTATATTATTACACTTACTACAATACCAGGAACTCTACTTTTAGTCTACCTATTTTTTTAACAGATAAGTCCAAGAATTCAAAAAAGAAAGTTTTCCCAAAACGCACAGTTTGGATTATAAATAAGTAGTGCAACTATGGTTAAGTCTACTAGATAAGCAAAATATTTGACTACCATTACACAGATTAAAACACTTCTTGCCAAGTCTTACAATCTAAAACAATTTGACTTACTATCAGTAGGAGCATAACGGAACCAAAATGGTGACAGATTTGAAAACCTATGTGCTTTCAACAAACTGGTCATCAGCAGCACAATATTTTCACACAAACGCATACACAAAGCTACATGGATTTCGACGGACCATACCACACAGAACCAAATCGACCGTATCTACATCAATGAATAAGTTCAGAGGGCCCATGGAGGACGTAAGGACCAAGAGAAGAGCTGATTTAGCCTCAGATCACCATTTTTTGGTCGCCAAGATGAAACTGAAACTCAAGAAGCACTGTACAATCGGGCAGAAAACAACAAAAACGTTTAATAAGGTATTTCTTCGGGATACTGACAAAATCAACATATTCAAGATAATCATTAGCAGTAGGTTACAGGCCTTGCATGATCTACTCAATGGAGAGGAAGCTACCGCGGAGAATAACTGGAAAGGGACCAAGGAGGCAATCACTTCAACATGTCATGAAGTTCTGGGCCACAGGAAGCACTGTCGCAAGGAATGGATCACTGTCGATACATTGGATAAAATTGAAGAGAGGAACAAGAAGGGAGTAATCAATATTAGCTGAACAAGAGCAGAGAAAGCACAGATACAAGCTGAATACACAAAAGCAAACAAACACGTGAAGAGGAGCATCAGGGCCTACAAACGTAAATATGTGGAAGAACTAGCAATGACAGCGGAAAGGGCTGCAATAGAAGGAAACTTGAGACAACTGTACGATGCAACAAAGAAGCTCGCTGGAAGCTATTATAAACCAGAACGACCAGTGGAAAGCAAGGAAGGCAAAGTAATCACCAACGTCGGTGTATAGCAAGATAGGTTAGTGGAGCACTTTAAGGATCTCTTGAATCGATCAGTTCCACTGAACCCACCAGACATCGAAACAGCATTCAAGGATCTCCCAATCAATGTCGACTCACCAACAGTTGAAAAGACCAGCATGGCCATTAGACAAATCAAGAGTGGCGAAGCAGCGGGACCAGAAAACATTCCAGCAGAGGCACTGAAAGCAGACATAACAGCAAATACAAAGATACTCCAAATTTTCTTCAGAGAGATTTGGGAAAAGAACAAGTACCAAAAAACCTGAAGGAACGTAAACTGATCAAGACACCCAAGAATGGAGAACTACGAAAACCAACATCCGAAAGTGTTAACAGTTATCTACGCAAAATAATTCGTATCCGTTGGCCAAATACTATCAACAACAACCTACTGTTGGAGAGAACAAACCTGATTCCAGCAGAGGAAGAAGGGCCAGAATTGCATAGGACATACGTTGAGGAAAGCACCCAACTGCATTCTGAGGCTAGCCCTCGTCTAGGATTCTCGAGGACAAAGGGAAAGAGGACGACCGAAGAACACACAGTCGAGAATTGGGGACAGCCATGGAGACTGAATGGTGATTGCTCAGAACTGGAAGGGATAACCCAGGACAGAGTAAGTTGGATAAAGCTGATCGGAGGCCTATGCTCCGTTGGGAGTAACAGGTATAAGTAAGGAGGGAGTAAGAGCATAACTCATTTGACAAATAAGTCAATTCATTCTAATTAAAGGCCTAAGCATGCTACTCACCTGTCCAAATCAAAGTAGGTGAGGCGGATTACGGACCTCGGCTAATTAATAAAATATCACTATATATTAAATATTTTTAGCTTGTTTGTTATGCTAGATGCCGATGAACAGTGAACAAAAAATACACAGATGTACAGAGACCCTAGGCTTATACGGGAAATCTAGATTTTTACACTTCTGAGTTTAAAAGATGAAAAATTTCCTGCCAAAATGGAGTATCATTCAACTACGAATATTCACTAAGTGCAAAAAGCACTATAACATTTAACATTAAATTTCTAAAACCAGACTAGATACGTCCGAAAAAGGCGATCATCCAGACAAACACATCATGTGTATATTGATCACCTTCAAATTATTGACATTAAACCACATGGTAAAGCATGAGTACATATAATAAATAACTTCTGGGCGGTTCTAACATGTAACATCAGAGTTCTCTTAAATATTTTATCAAAATGCTTGAGAAACAAATAAGTAAAACACTTGTCTACATGGCTTTAAGTAGAAACAAACCACTCCATAAACTGATTGAAAAAGATCAACCGCGAACTATTTTGTTAGAGTAGCACACGACTTTAGTTTGTTGGTGGTCACCACCAAGGTAATTATATCATTAGTTTTTGTTCATACTGCATTGATGACAATTGACAAGCTTATGAACTATAAATCTATTTTGGGCAGTATAAAACACAACAACACTAGTCATATGTGGTGCTATACCACTGCACATACATAATGGTAAACTGTCGAAATTATCAAGACACTTGAAACTAAATGGGAATCTTTCTTTGTTGCTCTTCTTTAAAAGATCTACTGCTTCAAGCTTTGTAGATTTCGGTTGTCTTCATCTCACATATGTTACTTTTTAGCCCTTCAAAGCACTTAAACTCGAAAGAAAACCATGCATCTGAAAATAAGGATCGTAAGCCGTTAAAAAAATTCGTTTTCATTTCAAATGAAGCAGTGTGATATATTCCTACACGTATCTGTTTAATTTAAGTTGTAATGGGTGGTAGACATCTCTAAGTTACGCACATTTTTTGAAAAAAAAGGTAGGATACTTTTATCATCCGAATTTGATACTTTTCTGATACACGAGATCAAGCGCCACAAGTCTGAAACGCTTTTATCTATCTGCTCGGCCAGGACGGCTTGCTGGTGCGTTCGACGTTGGGAGCACTCACACATACGAGCTAAATGGCATAGTGAATTCCTGTTGAAGTCAAGTTTATAATAAGAACATACATATCTTCGGAAAAATTCACTTCTGCATGGTCTTCCTGTCTATTAGCAGTTTTGTTGTCATTTTTTACGGTTTCCTTGCTTAAATCTTTCATCTCCTTCATTGGTAGAAATGATGTCAATGGCTGACCCAATGAAAATAACTTCCTACTAAGTGAGGAAAATGAGATTACACATCATATAGTTACCGCTTTGGTACACGCACATCCGTTTTGTACGGAGCTTTTAAGTGGGCAGGAATATATTTTCGTTGCTTTTTCATAGCTTCACTGCTATCGGACTTCGATTTTTTCAAATAAATTTTTTTGTGATGTATCTTCGGTACATTATTGCAAGGCCTAACTACTGCTACGGGCTCTAATTCAGCTTTTTTTGGATAAAGGGCTAAATGTGCCTTTTTGAGGGCTTCTTCTACTTGTTTTATAAGCACACTTTCGGCATCAACGTCATCCGTCTCGACAGTTCCATTAGCGAATTGTACAGCAATTTTGGAGCACGTGCACTTATTCTCCCTGAAGCTTATTAAAAAAAGTGAATTACTCATTCAAATAACGTTTGAATAGAGTGTATATAGTGCAAATACAGTTTTCGGAGTACTTAAGCTTCCATTGAAGGAGAGTAGCAATATCCATACAGCTCGATCAGTTGTTTGATAGAAGGGATAAAAAAAGCTTTCTAAACTACGAGTTTAAAAGCTTGATGCACGAATAACACCATACTTACTGGCAATGGGAATTATTCACTGTTTGCAAAACACACGACCTTGAAAGCTTAAGTCTCCCACTGTTACAAAGACGCGAAAACAGGTGACTTCTCATCATATCTGCATCTTCATATTAGATGTGCGTTTTCACCATGCTAACATATTTATTATCTTATTTGTTTCTAGTAACAGAGGGCGAAGACAAATTTTAAACACAAGTAATCGAGAATTATCAATCCGAATCTGCATAGTACCAACGAAACAACAGCTAACCTCCTCCATAATATGTTCTTGTCGATTCTTTCAGTTCTAAAGTTCGGTAATGTGCTTAGTTCCATCTTAAGATGTGATTATTTGTGTACTGTTATAGTTTCTATTTTTTGTGCCTTTTTTGATTTTCTATGTTTCCTTCCGAACAGAACTATATTTCTTAAGTTGATGGCGACAGTCGTATTGATTCAGTCCGTTTGGCGGTTGGAGAACGTAAACGGACTGAAAAACGGTACGATTTCGATCTTAAATTGAAGCATTTTTCCAGAAATGGAAACACTTTGTGTTATTATAGAAGGAATAATAGTTGCAATATTGTTTAGGTTATAGTGTATAATTATATTTATGATTAATAATAGGTCCGTTAGTTTCACAGAACTTTTTTTGTATTTCAAATGGGAAAGGCGCATATCTAAACTTCCTGAACAGTTATTCCTAAATCTAGACCTTTGTCTGGATTTAACATCAACTACATACTTATTCTGTCCATCAGAAGTGCATGTGAGTTTTCAGGGGAGAGTTCTTGGCAAACCAATTACGTTAGGGATAGCATGTTTTGGATTTTGGGGCGAAGTGTTTTCCTCTAAATGGTTAAACAGCATTTCGTCATTACAGTTGAAGTCGATTCGTGATGCGAATCAGCAAATCCAGTTCTAAACCGTGACATCAATTGTGAATTTTAGTGCTCATCCATCTCAATAATCTTCAACTCATCTTAAACCACAGTAAATTGATGAATATCTTCAAGGTCGTCTAAAAATATATCATATCAGTGATTTCTCTTCTAGAAAATCGTTGTGTTATTATATTAATGACTTCTGAAATGAAAGGTGTAGATGTAGCACAAAGTGCTGAATTTAAAGATATATTGTGAGAAAGTAAATGAATAACGATGAAAACGCATGCTTTATATAACTGCTGGCATTAAGTTCACACAGTGTGTTGTATCATATGTAAAGGCTAAACAGAAGCATTCTATTGGATCAATATCATTTTTTTTGCTTCATTAACTAGGAAATATTAGTTCACAGGTTACAGCGTTACTAGGATAAACAATAACTGAAATTAAAGTTAATAGTTGAGACTAATCTAACTTGCATCTCATTATGTAACTCACTAAATATGCGGCAACCGAACACAAAAATATTGTCAAATATCGTTTAGCATATGTCCCAGTATAAAAATGTAGTACCTAATGATTTTTGGTGGAACATAGATGTAAGGCGGCTATACGATTATTTCAGATATCGGGAACATCATTTATTTTCTAGAAACGTCCTGGATTTCTGGCTTGTATAATGTACAAGGATACTAGGGAAAACG